AAGAAACGACCGTTTGTACTCAATTTATATGCGCGCGATAAAGAAATGATAGGCATCTAGTTATTTATTAAATGAAATTACGCACGAAACGATAAAAGCTCGTCTTGCTCGAGACGCAAAACCGGAGGTGGGTAGCTCGGTGTTTCGGGGCGAAATCAGCGCAAATACAAGGCAGAGAGTGCAACGATAAGTGTAAGCTAAGGTGCTACGCAGAGTGTAATAATGATCGACGTCTGTCTAGTTTGTCTTTACGCAGCCAACCTATTTTCTACTGTGACAAACGTAATTAAACTTTTCAGCCGTCTTAGCATGTACACTTCCAACTTGGAATTAGTGCTCGTCGTTTAGGGTAATTCGAATTTGTTTGCTGCGCAATAATTAGAGGAGAAGCCAGAACCGGGAAAGATGGCAAGCAACGAATTAACTTTCCGTAAGTTGGGAAATTATTGGAACGACAACCAAAGTGGAATGTCTTTATTTCCCCGCTGTCGTTGACAGCGGCAAGCGTATCGCAATCGCGGAGACAGATGCACGGGAAAAAATGTAACTGCCGTAGAAAACTGCCGTAAAAACTGCATGTGGTACTCTCTAAAAGTCAATCAGTGTATTATCGCTGACAACAGTGAGTAATCACTTGTTTGCAGTATAGAGGAGAGTCTCCTATTATAAGAGATGCTTCTAATATGAGATAGCGGGGCTTCTGTTAAATCAATAGACGCACCCTTAGAAAGGATTTCTGTTACTCAGACAAGAAATATTCTTGACGCATTTATATTTCTCTCTCTCACAACCTCATTTAGTATAAAAATAGGACAGTATCAAAATAAAATCAATAATTCTTATTCTCCTCATTAAAAAAGATTGACTTACTATATTGAGACAAGAGTGACTTATATAAATGTAAGTTCTTGCGTTCGGAATAAATTTTCCCCCCGCGATATTCGACAAAGGACGATACACCCATACAGCACTCATGTCTAACAGACATCTTTAGGACGTCTTTTAGACATGCGTGCTGTATGGGCATACTATCATTTTATTCTGGACTTTAGAAATTTCTATTTAAGATTAAAATATTCCTTTCTCTATAATAAATATGATTGGCGCTATATCGATCCTATTTTATGATACATTGAAGTGCAACAGCACTGGATTTGGAAATTTTTTCTGCGGGGTGCATTTGTTGGTCCCACCATGAATTTATTGCCCTGGAGCGAAGTCCGTTGAATGGAAAATTCATTACTAGATCGGGCAAATAATCGTTGCGAAAAAAAATTGGTACAATTGGATGTTGAAAACCCCCGCTATTTGATATTAGGAGCCTGTTTCATAATAGGAGACTTTTCTTTATGTATATCGCGATTTACAAACGTCGAGTAACTGAAAATTACTTAATAAAAAAGTAGGTTTGCAGTAAAGTAATAATTATATTCTTCGCGAAGATAGTAAGGACTAATCTTTGAAGTTGCTCCTCTTTCGCTAAATGAAGATTGAGGGAGGACTTACACCGACATGCGCGCTGCCTTCGCTCAGGTTGTTTCAGGGGATTTGCCGTATCTTTATTTATCCAATTTCGCTTGTATCAAATAGCGGCCTTCCGACGAAATAACAATAAATACTTCTGACTTAATGCGCATCCGAAGATTGCGATTTAAGCGCGGCGCACTGTTAGATTGAGTTACACTAATGCCCGTTGGATTATTTTAATGGATTATGTAACTCGAGCAAAGTTCAACCCCCATGTACTTTCCGCGCGATTAAATCTTTATGGACAGCCGTACCCCCTCTCTCAGATACATATTGTACTCAACCTTTCTATTTAATAACTTTTACGATTGCTTTCGCCTCGAAATATTACTCTTTGTTACGAATCGCTTCCTTCATTTATTATCTTGCAGTACGCACGGCGGATGTAAATGGAAATCTATTTCCGTCCAATGATATTTGTTCCATATGTTTGTTCCACGGGTGACTTTTTTCCCCCCCCTCGCCAATGACTAGTCGCGAGACCCCGGCGCGTAAACCTGTAGTTTACATCCCGCATCGCTGCTCGTGTCGCGATATAAATTTCACCCCGTTCCTCCCACGTGCTCTGGCCGTATGGTTTGAAGAATGCATAGGAGGACAAACAAAAAAAAATGCCGTCCTCGTTGTCCGCGGCGAAAAGGACGGAAAAAGCAGTAACGATAATCGAATTTAGTGCGTCGCCGAGTATTAAGGGGATGCCTGGAGTGATTCTGCACTTCTGGCACCTTTTGCTCCTAGAACTGTCGATTCGTGAAAATATTTGTGTAATATACTAAATCAGAGAAGAGCATGGTATCATTGAAATTAAGTTTAGTAGCTTTAACAAGAAGTCATTCGAATAAGTTATGGTTTACCTAACCTATAACTTATTCGAGTGAATAGATTTTTTGTTAGGCTTCTAAACTTAATTTCAATGATACCATGCTGTTCTTTCACTTAATCTGACTAGCGGGACACTGTCGGTCTGTACACAAAAGTCACATCGCTTGTATATTACACAAATGTTTTCATGAATTGACAGTTCTAGGAGCAAAAGGTGCCAAAAGTGCAGAATCACTCCAGCATCCCCTTAAGCTCGTCCCTCGCGTTTTACTCCGCAAAAGATTCTTTCGCAACTGCCGTTCTATCGGCTTATCGTGTCGCCTCGTTATCCAGTCGCGGCGTTATACAAACGGCTAATTAAAGTCGTTGAACTCTGTTTCTTTGCGGGAGGGACTTGTAAAAATTAGCGACCGCGGCATGTCGGGCACGAGGGCGGCGAAAGCGGTGCTTAAAACTTCTCTTTAACTTCTCGGGGGCTGCTGCGCGACGCGACCGTCGCGTCGGTTCGTCCACGAAAATGTCAGAGTATAAAATGGGAGGAACGGCGTTTCTCGCCATTCTTGCGCTTTCGATAACGCGCACGCCGAAAAAGAATTTCGCTACCATAGCTAATCACGATTTCCTAAAAATGTTTCGCTGCCATAACTGTACATTTCTAAACCACAGCAAACGGTTTGCCGTCGCACCCAATACAATAGGCGCAGTAGCGAAATATTGGCTGTGACAACCAAATATTAGCTGTCCATATTTTACAATTGAAGTTCCCTAGTAGCACATTACATTGGCTAAACAGGGCTAAATATTGGTTCAATGTTGGTTACATTAGAAATGCCTTGGCCGATATTGTTCAACGTGAAGCCAATATTGGCTATGGAATAAGTGTAAATATTGCACGATAACAATTATATAATGTTAAATGTATATGGAAGTGCATTGATCAATATTTAACAATGCACTAAGAATATTGGTCTAATATTGTATCAATATTGCTAAGTAGTCACATTGGCTAAGTAAGAGAAGGCGTCCATCTTACAATATTGGACCAATATTCTGCCGTCCCAACCTAAAAAGCAGTATCTCCATTTTTTGGCCATTGTAGTCGACTCACTTTCTATGTTTCTTAGAGAAATATCCGTTGTCCCACAAGGCTAGAAAGCAGTGAGAGCACTAGATTAACATAAAGTAACTTATGTTTTTCTAAGAAACATGGAAAGTGAGTTAACTACAATGGCCAAAAAATGGAGATACTGCTTTTTATAATAGATTAGGAGGGCAGTATTGGGAATACTGGATTCACGTTATTTCCCAATATTGCGCCAATATATTGTGCTACTAGGGTTTAGTTACCACGTGCAGTTTTCAGCTACGGTAGCTGCATTCTTTTTCCCGTGCAAAATGGCTGCCGAAACTCCCTCTCGCGAGTCGAAGGGAGGTAAAATGCGGACTCGCGGGAAGCTATAGGCCATTCTTATATTCCATAGTCCGTTCTTATATTTAAGATCATCTTAAGTATACTCTTAATGTGTTTTTTAACCAATCACAGAGTCGTATTAGCATCTTGAGACAACAGTTAAGATGATTTTGAAATAAGACTCGACTATGAATATCGGCCATAGAGCGGTCGGTTCGCGCGACGATGAAGTTGGATGCGGATGGAAGGTATTATCACCTTTTGGAAATCGCCGCAGTTTTGTCGCGGCGAAAAGCACGTGATGAAATGACGGGGAAAATGTGACGGGAGGGTACGCGTGAGAATATCGAGCAAACATGTAGATTAGATTAGGCAGCAGCGGAGGAAGCACATCGACAGCTACGATACGTGATTTACCGCCCGTAGCCGTCGAGCACCAAAATCACATTTTCGTTTGCTTTACCAAGCGAGTTGATAGCGTACGTCGCTGCTAGATATCGTTGTAAAAAGACGACAGTCGAATCCAACAAGATAAAGTTACGTTGGAACACATGTCGCTGTAGAGAAGATCGGGGAAATATTTTTCACTCAAATCCCGTAAAATTTTATCATTTTGACCCGCCACGTTGAATCTACCGTTGAATCTACCGTTTTGAAATTAAGTAGACAGTTTTTTTTTATATTAGTCTTTACACTGGCCTTCAAAATGAGCTTGGAAAGAACTCGTTTTAATGAACTTGATACATTCAGTTTCATTTATAGCAGACAGCGATGCTTAATTTATTATTAAATTTTTAATTTATATTCCTAATACGCCCAGAAAAATGATTTATTTTAGGTTAAACAAATGGGATACGTTGAAACATGTTCCTTCGAATATACTAAATTTTTACTTCTACTAAAATATTTGCTAGATTGGAAGAAAAAGATATGAATTTTCTTAGAAATTGCAGTCTTAATCTAATAAAATTTTGGTTAAGGTAAAGAAATCATTTCTTTGAAATTCAATAAAAAGTCTAGTAAGGTCAAAATTCAAAAGAATTTTTTCTGGGTGCATAAGAGAATATAAAAATATATTCCTGGTGAGATTCTGTTGTCGTCTCAAACTTTTCAGACTTTCAGTTTTATAAATTAATTTACACGTTCTATGATGATTACTTTTTATTATTAATTAACATACGCAACTCGCGGTATGTAAAAATCCAAAATGGAGATAAACGGTTCATAAAACATTACTTACGTTCTAAACTTTACGACTGTGTCCATCGAAGACGATCACGTTGTTCAATAATGGTCAACTTCATCCGGGCAGGCATCATGCTGTAACAAAAAAAAGCAAAATTCATCAATATTGATCCTGTTAATTATTCAGCTTAATTGTGATAAAGTAAAACGTGCCGAATGAACGTGAAATTCTTCAAGGAACATTTTCGATTATCCACACGCAGATAATTTTCTCTTCAAATTTACCCTGGAAATCATGGAACAACGTGGCTTTTTGAAGAACTTTATATATAAGAGTTTTTTTTAAATTTCACCGTATATTTTCTAATAAAATATAAGTGGATATAACATATATTTTTATATTCCCAGAAGAAAAGTTTGTTTGAAGTCAAATAAATTTTCTTTGAATTTTGATCTGACTAGACATCTTATTTAATTTTAAAGAAACTATTTCTTTACCTTGACCAAAATTTTATTTGACTAAGACTAAAATTTCTAAGAAAATTCATATCTGTTTCTTCAAATCTAGCAAATGTTTTCAAGTGAATAAAAGTTTAGTAGATTCAAAGGAAAATGCACTGATAAAATATACTATTGTAAGTTTAATTATTAATAAAATGTCTGGTGAATTTTGAAAAAACTCTTATAAAATTTGTCGAGATGCCGTGTTGTCCCACGATTACATGATTTTCAGACTAAATTTAAAAATTCTCTCCGTGCATGTGTTCGGACGACATCACGCGTCTCTCAAATTTGCCGGAAAAACGATCAAAGCGGATAAGGGACGTATAAGTGAGAAATAAGTCGGTGTGTGGAATATTCTGTTCTTTTCAGGAGGTTCTTGACGGGCTCGGCGGGTCTCAATCGGCGACTGTATTTTACAAGCATCGACGACCCGGCATTCTTATCGGGTGACGTTTTCTCTTTTTCTTCCTTCTCCCCGTCGTGCGCAAGAAGACCGCTTCGAAAGGAAGGCGCGAAGAGATACGGATGGTAAATGTGACGAGGGGGCGATTCACATTCACGCGCCCCGTCGCTTTGCAAGACGTGAAAAATGACGGCGTGCCACTCGGCAATTCGACGTGGGACGCGGCATAGCGATTTTTAAATCCCGACGGCGGAGTAAGTTCGCGTCCGAGTTCGAATTCGCTTCGTGACGTTCGAACTCGGCGATTTACCGGCAACGCGGCTTTGCCGAAAATATTTTAACACTTTCTTACAAGAGACAAGAGATTCCCGAGGGATTTGGCTTCCCCCCCCCCCCGTCAATGTGGATGCAATTTCTTCTGCGGTGCGGAGAAAATGCGTAAAACGTGGCACGGTAAACTTACCCCGGGGCTACCCTTGCTCAACGTCTATTTGGCATGTCTCTCCGTACTGCATTTTCGCGCGACGTATACGAGTAAAAAGAATGGGCGGTTGCCGGAACGAGAAAATCGGCCAGGGGTGAAATTATTCTCAACACCTGTTCTCCCGCGGGGAGTAATGCGACGTATATTCTTATATCCAAGTTGCTCAGATAAATCAGGCGCTTGGGAAACACCTGAAATAAGCAGTCTTACCCCGGCGCAAATTTACTGCTCTCTATACAGAGTGTGTTCTAAGCTCGACGCGCGCCCCCGATCGTTCATTGTGACGCCCGGTATGGGGATTACACCGAAAGGCCGAAAGTGGTTTTCGATGGAAGGACTGAGTTTACAAATAAACTTTTATGCCAGATCGCTTACGTGGTGCGAAAGTTGAAACGTCTCTTCCCCGAGACCGGGAGATTCAATGAAGGGGCAAGCGAAAAGACGACCGTACACACTGGATAGAAGAAAGGGATGGGTAGTGGGTGGGAGGATTAGAGAGGAATGGAACTGAGGGACGTGGGGGGTCCCCTCCGACGGAAGGACAGTTGGGTCGCGCGACAAAAGTTACAGCTGGATAAGAGGCGGTTCGAGAGTCGAGTTCGCGCTCGATTTGGCTCCGAAAACTTGGGCGCCGCGCTGCTTTATATCGCTATAAATATTACGCAGAAACTGGGCCGTTTTGGAAAAAAAAGGCAGAAAAAGAGAAAAGAAACCGAGAAGAAAGGAAAGCCTCAAACTCTCCGCCGCTATCACGTTCCGTTCGCTGGGCTTCCCCCGCGAGAGAGAACGGACGATCTCGCGCTAAGTCACAGAATTTATCGCGCTACACTCGCGCGAGTACGGTTTTTTTTCTATCTTGTTTTATCGCGAAATATTGCTCCTCCATTTCGACGGTCTCTTTTAAACTGCGGAATTTCGCGCGCTGCTCGCCTTCGCAAATCCGAAAGCTTCCCTTCCCTAATCGACCGGGCGACCCCAATTTTTGCGCGTTATATTTAGCGAATCAATCGCACGGAATCGCCAGGAATGCCGTTCCCGCGTTAAGCGGATGATGCTGGGTACAAATGGAAAACAGAGGAGAGTCCTCTGTTGTAAGATACGCTCCTAATATGAGGTAGCTGAATTAGCGCATAGTAAAAAATCGTGTGTTTAAACGTAAAAATGTTCTTGTGCTACCAAGATTTGATTCTTCCTTCAATGTAAAGTTAACATAAAACGTATATGTTATTATTTTCGTAACACTTTTATGTGTGTTATTTAACAATTGAATATTATTTTGAGTTCTTTTAGCACAACTGTTTTGCAAAATCAACAGAACCGTGTAATATCGACATTTGTTACAAATTATTTCAACTATTCTGATTTGTGACTATTCGTACAGTTTACTTGCCCCGTCTGTTTTTATTAAATCACACCTAAGGTGTTGAGAAAACGTGAACATAAATGTGGAGTGTAGCGTTGATTAATTAACATTTATAATTTGTCAAAAAGTAACACACAATAAATGTTATTTGAACGTAAAATTTAGAGCGGACTTTCTGAGACATGTAAAAGAATGTTAACGGTAACATTTTATTTTTTACTGTGTAGGCGTCATTCGTCTACCATGAATTTATTGCCCTTAGACCGCGCATATAGTCGTTGCAAGAAAATTGATAAAATTGGACGTTGGAAATCCGCTGTCTCATATTAGGAGCCTGTCTCACAATAGACTTTCCTCCGTTGATATTTTCAAACGTACCGATAATATTCAATCGTATCGTCGCACAACGTTTAAGCTTCAGCTTTCACGCGCGTCGACTCTCTCGCTGGAGTTTCGCCGTAACGTTCCGGCGTGATAGCGAATAAAGAAAGTATGGCTGTGCTTCCGACGAAACGATCGAGCGGGGGGGGGGGGGGAAATGTGTCGCCGAAATGAAGGGACGACGCAAGATTGTTTTCAATTTTCCGCATCTGCAAGTAGATTGATTTTCAAATAAAAGAGAATTCCGCCCGAGGACCAAGGAAACGGGCTCGAGCCGCTATGGGGAAAGGCTGCGCGGCGGCACGCAGTCACCTTCTCTCGTAAATATGCGCTTTACGTTGATCGAGAATTGCGTGACCTTTTATATTCATCCGCTAAATCCTATTATCTGCAATCTGTTACATATGACAGAGGACGATAACAACATATAAACACGATGAATGTACTATTGTACGACCTAACAGTGCGCTGTGTTATGTACAGGGTGTCCTGCAAAGACCACAGAAGCGCCCAAGGGTAAATTCTTGGGATCACTTGAAGAAAAAAATCTTAACCGAAATGCTCAAGGCCCGAACACGTGAAAAACTCAAACAGGAAAATGTAAGACTTGAGAATTTCAACCAATCGGAATTTTCAGCATCGCTTAAGTTCCAAAATGGCTGCTCACTTTTTCGGTAGTCGCTGGCCATTTCCCTTATGGTCTTGAGTTTTACTACTTAAGTTTTTTTTCGCCTGTTCGGGCCTTCGGACTACAAGTTTTTGAATTAGAAGCATTTCTAGCAAATGAGGTAGTCTAAAGTTCGAAGTTGTTCTCGTATTAATGCGTTAATACAAATGCGTTTTTGTTTTCTCACCAAGGCCCGGTTGCACCAACGTCGCTTAACTTTAATCTTAGCTTAATTCACTCTTTGTCTCTTTCTGAGGGGAACAGAAAGAGACGACGAGTGAATTAGGCTACAGTTATCAAAGTTACGTGACGTTGGTGCAACCGGAACTAATACAGATGCATTACAGTTCTAATTGTGCAGTACGTGTATGAAATTTTCATTTTTTTTAATAATAGTTTCTAAAGTTACGCCGGTCGGGGCTTTTGTTAGACAGGTTGTACAGTGATGAACAGAATGGTTGCGAAACTTTTTTTTAATGAGTTTAGAAACGCGCATTTACACCCGCAGAAAAAATCTCCGGATCCAATGCTATTACGCTTCAATGTATCATAAAATAGGCTCGATATAGCGCCAATCATATTTATTATAGAGAAAGGAATATTTTAATCCGAGGGGGAAACCGCTGAAGGCATTGTGGTGCACAGATTTGCGGCTTTACTGGGCATTACTAGGCATTTTTGGGAATTAGTTTGGGCATTAGGCCTTGCTGGGGCCTTATAGATAAACTAAGATACAATTAAGATAAAATAAGATAAAATAAGATAAAGTAATGCCCACTGCGCATTAGTGGGCATTGGTGTACAAGATTTTGGTCAGCAGTTTCCCCCTTGTTTTAATCTTAGATGAAAAATTCTAAAATCTAGAATAAAACGATAGTATCGTTGTAAAATGGAGGGAAGATTTATTCTAAACGCAAGAATGTGTAAACTTACATTTGTATAAGTTACTCCTGACTCAATATAGTAAGCCAATCTTTTTCAATTCGACAGAGGAGAATAAGATTTATTGATTTTATGTTGTCTTATTTTTGTTATACTAAATGAGGTTGTGAATAATATAAATGCGTCAGGAATATTTCTCGTCTCGGTAACAGAAATTCTTTCCGAGGGCGTAAATTCAGGCTTACGTCCCAAACTCTTATTTTCCGAGGAATAATTTACTCGGTGGCCATTCCGAAACCGTTTCGAGCGCTTTCGATCTGTTTCTCAAGTAAAATTCCCCGCCGACAAAATGTTTGGGAACGTAAACCTGAATCTAACCGCGCGTTTTTAAACTCATTAAAAAGAGTGTTGTAACTAGTCTGTCCATCACTGCACGTAGTGAAACAGGATG